CATTCCAGGGGATGGCTAAGCTGCCTTTTATTTGACTGTTCCCTTGGCTGCATCTCATTGCTCCCAAACTCATTCACACATACCATTACAAGGACTCATTCAGATTCCACGGGGAACCTGAAAGCAGAGGTGTTGAAACACAGAAGGCATACTTCTGGGGTCCTAGTAGATGGCACTGTTTAATTAAAGGAATCTGGAGCACGCCAACCTTGCCAAATCAAATCAGCCAGGCAGATCCTCAGGTAACTAGGCTTTATACCATGTAGGGTATTATAGGTAATGACCAGCTCCTTGATTCACACCCAGAAGCAAACTGGTAACTGTGCCACTAACAAAGCAGGGGTGTTACACAGCTGCCTTCTAGACCAGCTGAAATAGCCGGGTGATCTTTAAGGGAAGCTCTACATAGAGCCTGTTGCACGAGTCAAGAGTAACTACCTGGAAATCCTTTTGATCTAGGAAAAAGCAACTGGCAAACCAGATGAAGCTGGACAAAGGCATCCTTGGCCATTGCTGCTACCTGCTTACATTTTCAGCCCTGTAATCAAACTAGATGACAATTTAGATGACATTTGAACCTGATTCCCAATCCATTTGCATCAATGACTGATCCAGAGTATTTCTTAAGGGCCACGGCACACCATTTTGTCAAGTGTGATTGCATCACGGGCTGGATCATGATGGATTGAGACGTTTTTTGCCTTTGCGGAGTCGGGGTGGGCGTGGCCTGCGTGTGACGTATCCAGCCTACAGGCCGGCCAGTTTGACAGGCCTGTTCTAGAAGCAATAGCAGTGCTAGCCCTTCATTTGTTTTCTTTTTCAGCCAACCCGCCCATTAATCATTTAGTTTTAGGCCATTTTCTCCTCTCACAGAGATAACAGAGACTTCCCTCACCCACCTCAACGAAAGCACTAATTTATCAAATGGTCACATTTTGCTTTTTGCATGTGTGAGTGGAAGAGAGAAACTTTGTGGATTCTCTTAACAAAAGGCAGGGGATGTGGCTGTGAGGAGTGTGACAGACAAAAGGGACCATATGCATATAAAAACAGGTCAGTGCTTGTAAGATGCCAGCAGAGTCTTCAGCTCTCAGTTGTCCTCCAGACTGAGACCAGCAATACTTCTTAAATTGTCTTGAGTTGTACTCAATTCTCAGCAGGTGTCTGATTCTCTGCAGGTGTCTCTGTGGAGTTATTACCTACTTACTGACCTTTAAGACACTTCAATTATATTTTTTAAGCTTTGGTAGAGGTGAATTTTTAAAGAAAAATTGAGAAGCAGAACCTCATGGAAATCGAACTCTTCTAGGAAGGGGTTTGTTTCAAAGGAACTGATGGTGGCTACAGGAACGGAAAAGATGCGAAGTTCAGATACTACGTGAACCTGGTGGTATGAAATCAGCAGCCCTCCCACAAAGCAAGTTTCTAGAGCAGGGGTGTCAAACTTATGTCGTTGTCACATGATGTATCCTGACTTTTTCCCCTTTTGCTAAACTGGGCATGGGCGTGTCCAGCGTGTGACACATACGGCCTGTGGGCTGCAAGTTTGACAGCCCTGTTCTAGAGAAAGGCTAGAAAACTGCCATGCATTCTTCTGCCTCATTGAACCTCCCTAAGGCTCCCTTCTTATTCCTAAGGGATATTACAATTCAAATCATGAAGCATAGAGGCTGGAAAAATTTTCAACATGTAAATCACAAACAGCTTTCACAATGACCTTGGATCTTCTTCGCATTCAGCCAGGGGTTACGACAGGGTTAACTACCAGTTCGGGATTTACGAGCTTCCCTGCACGCTGGGAGCCACGTGCCTGTAAATTGTCTTCAGCACGCTGTGTGCAGAGACGCAGCCTTTGAAACAGCCCTCTTTTCCTGCTTTTTTAACTGCAGCTGTGCCTCGTTCAGCAGCTGAAGTTGAAAAATCAGGAAATAAAGATCAGGTAGGAGCCCAGGTGGGAGGGTGGGCAAAAACATCAGCAGACATAGAACCGGTTCTATGTCTGCTGCTCTTCAGAGCTACCGGTTCTACAGAGGTGGACAGAACCGGTAGAAATCCACCTCTGCATTCAACTGAAGCACCTTTCAAGAAAAAGCCCATTTTAAACTAGCCTGATAATTCCTTAAATAAAAACCTGGGCACATGTTTACACGTGAAGGACATATGATAAAGTACATAAGAAGTTGGAGAAGGTTTTCTTTTGCCAAAAGAGTAGCAAAAAATCTCACAGCTAGTGGCTTTAGACAAAAAGGAGGCTGGCTATCTTGAAAACTTCAGTAAGACAAATAAAAATGTCAGCTAAAGAAAAGAGTGGTTTATTGATGTAAACATTTATAATCAGGGAGTATATGGAGTGAAGAACGTATCTGCTTGAGAAACAGTGGAGAGAAAGTTAGTCAGATGACAAAAATGAATCCCAGTAATATTAGAAATTCCAGGGCTTGAAATATCAGTTATGTTCCACTTTCTAATGAGTAAGGCTCTGTTCATTACCTGCCTTGATTTTGGCCTTTCCTTACAAGGCAACACACACTCATTTGTCAGGTGACCTTGCTACAAACAGAACTCTGTGATCTCAGCTTTGTCCCTTTCCATCCATTCTAGGTACATTAGTTCTCTTTTTTGCTCAATATTACAGTACCTCCCATCACTTGTGCTTAAGAACAACTGTGGCCTGTTGTTTCCTATGGCTTCAGTTGCATCTGCTTTCTCTGCTCCTTTGGGTCTATTCTGATTTGGATTTAGAGATCTGAAAAAGGTTTGTTTATTTCCTCTGTATGTTTCTGATATACAGGTTTCTGTATTAATGCCCACATTTTTGAAGACTCACAGGATGGTGGCATTCTGCAGCCCTGTCATTCTTTCCAGGCACCTCTATGTTGGGTTTGGATTTCTAGTTCTATTTGGATTTTGTAGGTTGTTGTTGGGTATGTATTTCTCAGAAATTAAGTCAGAGCATGCCTTTTCTAGAGTAGTTGCACCAATGGGTATTATTTGTGTGACCTTTGCTCGTATCTCTTTTGCAAGGGAATATGAACAGCATTGTGAATATAGTGTAAGATGTTAGTGCAGGATTTATTAGATTGTTTGTCGGTACAGTTTTAATAATGTGATCTGCGCTGTTTCTACTTATGCATGTATTTTGTAAAATATTATCAATACAGTCAATGTATTGCAAAGACAAATATACTCAATGACCTGATGGCCATTAGTAATAAAAGGTGCTTAAATATATTTTATTATTTACAAACCTTACAGGTGCCTGATCTCATTAGGACTCCTATACTGTCCTGTTGATTCCTACACCAATACTTAACTGACATTCTTCCTCTCATACACATACAGCTTGGGCAATGAAGAATTTCAGTTGCCCTGAGCTACTTTAGTTCTAAAACATTCTCTTTTTACTGCTGCAAATCCTATTACTAAATTCAATCAGACCTGAGTAATGAATCCCTAGTCAGTCCTTTGATCACAATCTGGCCACTTATAAATATTATGGGAAGATTTGGTGGTAGAAGAAACAGGGAGAAGACTAGAGTTACACAAATCCTTTCCTGATTTTTTTCAATCTATCACAATCATCATATTCTCTGCTGTGAGTATAAAATCTTTTTATAACATTTCTGACAGAAATTAAGACTTTTGAGTGGTTGTGTGAACACAGCATGTATTTTTGAATAGTGGGAAGCTAAGACTCTATTTTACTGAAATCTAGATCTAAGGTTTTCCCTCAACAAACCCCTACACTCAAGACTGAAATTTGAAGAAGCACCCTCTCAAACCATTGCAGTGCTTAGTTTCACATTAAACTGGAAATATGAGAAGAGGACTTTCAGGGGTTCTCTTATTGGAAGGTGAAGAAGAAAAACTGGTTTCTATTTGCAAAAGGGGAGGAAAATTTCAAACCCAAGTTCTGAAAACAATAGTATGCATATTGATATGAAGTTAGAAAACATTTTGTTGAAAGAAAATACTGATAGAAGCCGTTTTCTTCGAAGTAACTATTGTTTCTTGCTACTGCTAAAAAAAAAAATCCGTTATAAGCAGACCCACCTCTTCAAACTGAAAAAGTTATGCTTAAATTTGAGAAGTTAGGATATAGAGAGAGTCATTTTTAAGAAACTGTCTATGGATTATTACTTTGTAAAATACCTAACATTATGTATTACAATGATAAAGAATAAAAAGATTTGCAAATAGAAAGAATGCTGCAATAGGGGCCAGCAATCTTTTTGGCACTTGAATGTCATGCAAAATCTCTTTAAAATGGCGCAGAGAAAGAAAATGCCAGTGGTTTTAATTTATGTCATGTTTTTCCTATTTCTTAATAAAACTATAGATATAAATGCCAGCTGGGACTAAGAATTTTGGAGACAATTATCAGAATCAGCTCTGGATGCAGGGACATTCATGGAATGGGGGGAAAGGTTCAAAAAAAGTCAAGAAGATGGCAGCATTGTGGCCATCATCTTGATTTTCGTTTTTACTCCCCCTGCCCCATTCTGGATGCTCTAGAACACTGTTTCTCAATCTCAGAGCCTTTAAGGCATGTGAACTTTAAGTCTCACAGAATTCCCCAGCCAGCCATGCTACACATCTCCAAGTTGCAAAGAAGCACCACTCTAGGACTTGAGAAGCACCGCTCTAGGACTTTGTATATGTAGTAGCCATCCTACTATTCCTCAACCAGAAATCAACCACATATTTGTTTAGGATTTCATTCTCTCTCCTCTGAGCTGAAAAAACAAACAAACTTTGCTGCACAATATAAACAAGTAAAAACAAAGAGAAACCTGAAAAGTGCCAAGTGCATTACTGGCCCTTTTTTGATGGAAGAATCATGGCAATTCTTATCTAGGATCAGATCAGATAAACAATAGCTGCATGAAATTGGACTCTTCTTCAAAAAATAAAGTGTAATCTGTCTGATTTGTAAATCTATAATTTGCTTAAACATATTTGCTGGAAACAAATCAAGAAACAGAAAAACGAACTCTTACCTGAAAAATTCCGAGACACCAGCATAGTGGTAAGGATTGCACCCTAAAAATAGCAATACACATACAGATATATTTATATAAAATACATAAAAAGTAATGAATGAATATTCTGGACACTATACCAGTGAATATATATGTTTACTATGATCTATCTATACCACAAAATAGAAAGATATGTCATGTAGCCATTAGTTGAACTTTCTTCTCTTCTCTTTCAAGGAAATATCTTTCTGGTTTGCTTATTGTAGCCTTCCCAAATGGGACTCTATATGTTGCATGTACCTCCTAGTTAGCAGGATGTGAATTACAATGTAGTGGTGTGACTATATGTGGGCAAACTGGGTTTTGGTTTTGGTGAAACCAAATATGCTAAAACTGGCTGTTACTGACTTTACCAAGAGCTGCTGACCCCGCATGAGCCACAGGTACCACTAAATTAATAACTTCTATGCTTTTCTATATTACTAATAGCAGTGACCCATATCCATAGAACAATTTGGTGATCACCAGAGCACATAAGACTTCAACATGAAATGTAGGAGGAGTAAATAGTGAAGAGCATTACTTAATTAATGAAATTAAAGGAACAAAATAGATTATTCTGTGTCCATGAAACTAAGATGGGGGGAATGAATGTAATAGATTTAATAAAGGTTGTCTGATTTTGTGGTGTGCAGCTGATGAACACATACAAAGTACTGAAAGTTTAACCATGAATGAAAGGGATAAATGTGTGTCAAAAGGTACGATGTATGTTATACTGGGTGCTGATAATAAAAGCACCAGATATGAATTTTATGAAAAACTGTGCAATATTCTGAACAAATGCAATCCAGGGATAAAAAAATACTCTGTCAGATAAAATGAATGGGTGCAGGAGAACAAAATAAAAGAAAAGAAAAATTGTTTAGACCATTCAGAAACTAAAAAGTGATTGAGAATTGTTTTTCGTGAAAGGTTTCAGAAAACTGTCTGCTTGTTTCAAATATGTGACAGAACATAAATTTATTTATAAAGCCATATGGCAAAGGAATGCATGTAAATCTAAAACTATTATTGATGAAAGAGAAAAATAGGAATGGGCATAAGAATCAGTGACTCTGAATGTGGGACATTTCTTTGATAGTATCAGCAGTGGGAAAATGGATTTAGAAAAGAAAAAGAAAATGAAAGAAATGACAGTGAAAGAGCAACAATAAAAGTGGATGGATTAATCTCCTAATACTACATAGTGGATGTAAGGAAAGAAGATGCAGAAGCTCCTTTGAACAGTCAGATAGGGATGTTAAGAGTGGCATTGTGTGTGTGTGTGTGTGTGTGTGTGTGTGTGTGTGTGAGAGAGAGAGAGAGAGAGAGAGAGAGAGAGAGAGAGAGAGAGGGAGAGAGAGAGGGAGAGGGAGAGGGAGAGAGAGAGAGAGAGAGAGAGAGAGAGAGAGAGAGAGAGAGAGAGAGAGAGAGAGAATGCTTGAAGGAATGAGATTTACACGGGAAAGAGGTACAGACGTATAAACAGAGAAATGTAAAATTATGGATTTGATATACATATTGGGTTACAATTTAAGTTATTTCATGTTTGAGGGATGCATCTATGCCTAATGGCTGAAAAAAATAGCATTATACTTATATAAAGGGAAAAGTAGTGAAAGTGAATGAAATAATTACAGAGGATTTATTATTAAGCGTACCTGGATCAAAAACTAAATATAAGATAAATCTGGGAAGAATAATGAAACTTTCTGCTGGGCAGAGGGATTGTTTCCCAACAGGTGAGTGAAAAATGTACTAATGTGAGAAAAGAAGTTGATCAAGGAATATGACATTGATCTACTTGTTTAACGTGTACGTGTTAATGTGTCCATGTGTGTGTGTGTGTTCATTGATGGACTTTTACTGATTGAATGATAAGGCTTTATTATTTGCTAATAGATAAAAGGTGAGATGTGAGATAAAGAGATTTTTGGATGAGGTGTTAAATAAGGTCAAAATTTAAATTGGACTTGTAGTGTATTTTTCCATATATTCCTCCCTTCCTCCCATTTTTTCTCTTTACAACTTTTTCATTTTTGTCTTAGTTTGTATTAGTTCTTTATCTTTGTATTTTTAAGCTTCAATAAACATTATAAAAAGGAAACTGATCGTACATTTGTTGATTTAGGGAAAGTATACATAAACTATATTGACTTGAATTAATGAAAGAGTGTGGTGCTTATTAGAAATGCATCTACATGGAGGGAAGCATGCAGTGGGGTGCCTCAAGGTTTTGTCTTGGGGTCAATGCTCTTCCACATCTTCATAAATGATCTAGATGAGGGGATAGAAGGTGAACTCATCAAATTTTTATCTTGACAGGCATTAGGCCCTATTCAACAAGATGCAGTTCAGTGGTAAGAAAAACAAGGTTCTGCACTTAGGCAGGAAAACCCAAATATAGGTGTAGAATAGGCAGCACCTGGCTCAACAGTAGTAACTGTGAGAGGGATCTAGGTGTTATAGTGGACCACCACTTAAGTATAAGCCAGTAATGTGCTGCACCTGCTAAAAAACCAAATGTAGTCCTATGTTGCATCAACAGAGGGATAGCATCAAGATCACAAGAAGTGATAGTACCACTCTATACTGCAACAGTGAGGCCTTACTTGTCTTGGCCTGGTTCTGGTCACTATGATACAAAAAAAGATGCCAAAACCCTAGAAAATGTGCAGAGAAGAGAACAAAGATGATAAGGGGTCTAGAGGCTAAACTGTAAGATGAACATTAAGGGCATGTCTAGCCTATCAAAGAGAAGGATTAGAGCGCTATAATAGCTGTCTCTCAGTACTTGAGGAGCTGTCATAGGGAAGAAGGGGTTTACTTATTTTCCAAAGCACCTGAAGTCAGGACAAGAAATAATGAATGGAAGCTCATGAAAGAGTTTCAACCTAGGTACAACCTACAACAAGAGAGAAATTTATTGACAGTGAGAACAAAGAAGGAATGGAACAGCCTTTTGCCTCCTGGAGTTGTGGATACTCAATCAACTGGAGGTTTTCAAGAACAAACTGGACACCGTTTACTCTTGTGCAGGAGATTAGGCTAGAAGACCTCCAAGGTCCCTTCCAGTGCTACAATTCTATGTAAATGTAGTGGCAGAGATGTCTTGACTGAGAACATGAATGTATACAGATGATGCCAAATTGCTCACCAAGAATAAGGTAAACAAATTGATAAATATTAAACTGTATGATGCAACATGGGGATACACATCCAAAAATTAATATTGCAGACCAAGATATTATTTTTTCTCTTTTAGCAGGGAAAACAGAACAAGCAAGTTTTAAATACATGGTGAAAAACTAAAGAATAGAGGTGAAATTCTGTATCTTACCAATTGGTGCATAGGATGATAGAAAGGTAGTGAGCAATGTGTGGTTTATTGGAAGGAAAGAATGTTAATGGAAGGAAGTACAAAGTCTGTAAAGCATTCTTCTGCTCACTTTGCTATTTGGGAGTAGAAGGGGCAATATTAGAAGAAACAAAAACCTGAGCCATACGGAGTGGAATGAGGGCTTCAGGAATGCAGGTGATGGAACAGGAAGAATGGGTGCCGAGTACAAAGCTCGGTGCATAAAAGAAGGAATGACAGTATGTAGAAGTGGATGGGTGCTGTAGAGAAAAGGAACGAGGGCTGAATTCACAACAAACATATGAAGGAAAGGTAAATTGATGGAGGGGAATGCTCAGCCACCAGGTACAAGAAAAAGTTTAGATCCCATGCATGTAGACGGTATAGACATTATGTAGACATTATGCTTATACATCTGTCCGAATTGATTTTAGGCTCAGTAATTAAAATGTATATTGCCAACTTCGATAATCACAAAATGTGGAATCATAAGTCACTGTCCTTTTTAAGACTATACCTTCAGCTTTCTTCTGGCATTGAACTTTCTCAAGCATTCCACAGTCTCCTGTCTGTGCATCATAGAAGCTACCGTTGATCGTTGCTGGAAAAAAAGCAAGAAGAAAGCTGGCATTTAGATCACTATCTCAGTTTATTTAATAACTAGATTTCTATTCTGCTATTCCTCCAAGCGTTCAAGATAGCTTATACGTCAATCTTTCTTCATGTTATTCTGCTGCATGCAATTGGCCCATATTCAGTGTTTCCATCAAGGAAGAGAGGCTTGGACTTATGTCCAGTGCTGGGATTCACAGCCAGGTCACACCAGTTCGGGAGAACCGGTTGTTCACTTCCTGAGCAGTTTGGTGAACTAGTTCTTGGAAGAAATCATTAGGGCAGAAAACCGGTTGTTACATTTTTTGAATCCCACCACTGCTTATTTCCCCCCAGTCTGAATCCAACTACTTAACCACTGGCTCTCAGTCTCAATCTCTCCCCCTCTACATGCCATCCTTGTACTGGTTCTTCCATTTCAACTTTAATCTGGTTGGTTCCCATTTCCAAGCTTCTTAAGTTATTGTGAGAAGGAAAGCTGTAGATACTTACACAGACCCATGGGTGCTTGAGTGCCTGATCTGCTGTGATGCGCTTTGCAGGGTTTATCGTCAGCATCTGGTTGATTAAATTCTTTGCTTCTGGGGTCACAGTATCCCACTCTGGAGAAGGAAACTAAGAGGAGAGATAACAGAAGCTGGGGTTTTTTTAAACCAGCTTATATATTCCTGCAGTTGCTTCTGCTTTTATTCCATACTGAATCAGTATAAGTGAGTGGCCTTTCAGGGACTCACATTATGGAGAAAAATATAGGTGATGCAGTTCCAATATGGATGTGAGTTGTAGACTACAAACTATTTGGAGTGTTAAGATTGCTGAATTTAGGGGACAGTTAAATGGGAACATTAGCTGATTCCTAGTATCTCATCCAGCTAACGAGAATAGAAAATGGTTCTCTTCAAAAGAATGTTCAGTCACTAAAAGATGTTAATACTTCAGAAATTACTGAACTAGTATTATTCAGGTAAAACAAACCCCATTTTTATGAATGAGTAACTTCTGACACTATCCTTCTTCCTTATCTCCTATGTCCAACAATGTATTTTGCAGTATGATGCATCAAAACCAGACAATTAACTGCAGAGAATAACATATAAAGAATTATCTCACATCATAGGCCCCCGCCTTGATCTGCTGATACAGTTTATGCTGATCTTCATCCCAAAATGGAGGATATCCAACAAGTAATATATACAGAATAACTCCTAGGAGAGAATAAAAAAAATTACAGTTACCCTAAAAGGCAAATGTACCCTTGAGTCAATCCATGGGGACTGGTCACCTTTTATGCTGCTGTCCATTGTCACAAGGTAATCTATCTTCTATGTTCAAGACTTATTCCAACTTCTGTGGAGGAACATACATTTCCCTCTCTGTCATACCATCATCTCTCAAGTTACTATAAATATTTCTACATGGAAAAATCTGAGAATGCTAGCAGCATCCTTAGCCATCATGTACTGTATGTTAATATATTTATTTGAAGTCTTCCATGGGACTGAATGCCAGGACCTGAGAGAGACAATATCTTTGCTCTCAGCAGTGGCGGAGTCTTTCATAAGACACTAAGCCAGACAAATTCATTTTAATCACATTTCAAAATGTTCAATTTAACCACTTTATTAATATTAGAGACCTTCAAACCAGCAAACTTAATTTGACACCTGGTGACTATTACCTTCTTCTTTGGATTTAAGAAATGTTATTGTATGTTTAATATATGATTGGCAAAAAGCAAAAAAAAATACCTTGATTTAAGAAAGTTTTAAATGAATTTGGAGACCAGAGAGATTTGGAATGTTGGTTATTTTTGCTGTAAGGTATGAAAAAAACAAGTATGTAATTAAATAATATACTTGTGGGAAATGACTGAAACAACAAACCCCATATTAGGAACTGAGGTTAATGAAGATTGTACAGGGAACTAAAGGATCAGGCAGAAAAAAGTTAAAATGGCTATAACTGTTTCTTATTTTAATTTTTTTTGAAACCTGGACTGAATATTAATAACAAATGTATTAAAAAGGATACAGATTTTAATGAACAAACTTTTACAGAATGAGAAAAATATTTTGAAAAAGCTTTTACTTGACTTAGACATTATAGAATTGGAAGGCACGGGAATCAACAAAATTGAGATTACCAAAATGGAATTACAAAAGGCAAATCAAGAAAAGTATCTGGAGTAGAACAGCTGCAACAGGACATGCTGGACAATGCCTCTTTATGGGATTTACAGAATAGGCTGGTAAAAACTTTAAAGACTTATTCTAAATGCCAAAAGGTGATGAAAGATCAAATCCTTCATACCTTAATACTGAATTAATACCATAAGGTCAAGCTTGGGCAGAGCAAAAAGGAGTATTTGACCAGGAATGAACTATTTGCTGGATACTTCTGGTAACTCTTCATGGAGAGTTCAGTTTTTACTGACTAGGTTTGAAAAGTTGGTGATTTCTGGATTGTGTATAGATACAAAATTAACTTATGGGAAAAAGAGGTTTTTTAATGTGTAACTTTAAAAGAGGGTGAAAAGTTAGTATACTACATTATGCTTGGTGTGATGAAGGTTAAAGGCCACCTTTGTTGCTGTTTTCCTTTTTTCTTTTACATTTTTGTCTTTCTTTCCTGCACCTTTTGAACTTTTATTACTCTTTCTTCTATTCTGAAACAGCTTACTCCCTGAGGTGAGATTAACTTCTACTCTCCTGACCCTTCTACAAGAGCCTGAAGACCTGACTCTGCCAGTTGGCTTGGGCCTCCAATTTGGGGAGGGGGGATTTTTATCATGCTGGAGGTAGTCGATCAACTAACAGCAGCTCCCAGCTCCCCTCCACGCTACATTCTGGTCATTCCCTCCACATCTTCTGGTTTCAGTTAGAATTTGTATTTTATTATGATTTAATTGTGATTTTACACATTTGTGTATATATTGATATAAATATATATTTATATTTGTATATATATATATATTTATATTGTAAGCTGCCCAGAGTCGCCTTTCAGCAAACAAATTTAGTAAATAAACAAACAAACAGTTTAGTCTATACTGGTCTTTACTATGTTTATTAAAAAACTTGATAAATTATTTTTAAAAATTAATAAGTCCTGCTCCGTGTGTGCAAATGACCACCCCAGCAAGTTGATAAAACATTTTATTGTGAACAAAATGAAATGTAAACATAAGAAATATAGCAAGGTTAGACTTTTTCTGATCTGTTCCGTTAAGATAATGGATGACTAAGGACATTTTTAATTGCTTGCTCATTTGCTCCACTCAGCAGACTTTATAAAAATTACATACTTTCTAAGTGGAAGTCTGAACACATTGTATGTAACAAAGCATCAAAAGTGCATTAATAAATTGAAGCCAGGTTTATTACTCTAGCAAGCAGAGAACAATGTTCCCATTCACGCAGTAAATGTTCTGTTTTTTTACAATGAAGTATCCCAATGAGAAGTTTAAAAGCACCATTCATCTCAGACTTGAATGAACAGACTGAACTGGACCATTTCCATTCTAAATCAGTTTGGGGAAAAATGGACAACAAATCAGTCTTTTTTCACCCCAACTAATACAAGTTTTTCTTCCAAACTTCTGATGAAGAGAGTTAAAGGTCTAAATACTCGTAGAGCTTAATGGAACAGCAGATAATTCCAGGCTATATAAAGAAAAAGTACTAAGTTACAAAAGTGCTGTTCCACTAGTTCCCTGGGAATTTTCATGGGCCAATTTTCTGTTAAAAGAAGAAAAACAGATAAAAATGTCTGAAAATTGAGAAGCCTAATTTAATAATTAAAACGCTAAAATAAAAGAGAGCTCTGCAAAATATATTGTGATCGAAAGAAAAGTTGGATTACTCTGAGAGCTTTGCAGCCAATTATTGGTTAAAAGAAATGGATGTGTTGAATCTTTAAAAGACAGAGCATGCTCATTTCACAATCCCTACATCCAGGCTTCCCTTTCACTGTAAGATCTGTCAGTCCAGATTCTACATTTCCATCAGACAGGACAGAATGGAATCCGTCTACGTGCATCAAGGTTCTATGTACCATAGGTCTGTTTTCAGGAAACTAATGACTTTCCAAATAATGAGGATGACCTCATGTGTCAGTGACGTAGCTGAAAGCACTGAGCCAACCTTGGTTTCTAAAGAATAGATAGCAGTTGGATTAAGAGTATAGAGCTGCTGTTTCAATTTAATTGAGGAACATTACAGTCACGGGTTCATAGACTATTCTCAATCTCTGCAAACTGTCAGACACCTTTATGCAGCTTGCTCCCACTTTAAAGCAAATATATCCCACAACCCAAACAACTATGATTAAAAGTTAGAGGCTCTTACCACATGCCCATATATCCACTGGCTTTCCATAAGGATCTTTTCTTAAGACCTCAGGAGACAGGTAACCTGGAGTGCCTGCGAACCCTGTCAAAGTACAGTGCAACACTTCAGAATAAAGCTACTACTTTCACAGATTACTAGAAAATAAGCTTTCTGACATGGAGTGCGACGGACGTGTGAGAGTACCACCCCATGAATAACTCATGGAAAAGCTTCCCAGACGAGGCAATCTTGGACCAAGTTAGCACAGGGTGTCAATCAAACCAATTTCCCTCCCACTCCAGCCATAGGGAAGATAATCATAGAATGCCACAATTGATTCAGCTTCAATTTGCAGACGAAATCTAATGCTGTGGCCAAATGTTAGTAATATTTTAATCTTACTTATATATTGTATTTATATCCTGTGTTTCCTCTGGAACATATCTGGGGTCTCCTTTATTTTATTTGCTTTTCATTCTTATATTTACAGGACTTATAGCCCACTCCAACTAGCCAACTTTGAGCAATATATACCTGTCCAATACATATTTGATGCAATGCAAAGTAATGCAATGCAAATTAAGCTTTTAGCTTAGTGGAGCGGCCAAGTTTTCACTAATTTTCTGAAGGCCAGGAAGGAGGGATCAGTTCAAAAGTTGGAGGTGTGGGGATGGTGAAATGAGATGATGACCGAGAAGCCAGGCATTCATAGTCCTTGAAATCTCTGGACAGTCTGATCAGCAGGGCATGTAAAGGTCCAATCCTACTAAATTTTATTAGGCAGGCAGATGTTATTGGCAGAAGGCAGTCTTGCAGATACACAGGTCTTGAAATACCTAACACTTTCAAGGTGACAACCAGCACCTTGAATTGCACCCAGAAGTCAACTATCAGCCAGTCTAGAGTAGATGTATTACATGGGTCTGAATGTTCTTTGAAGGCAGCCCATCACCCAGACTCCTCCACAGACTGCACTTGAGGAAATCAGTGCCAATTCTGCACCCACCATCTCAATCAAGTTTCATCCATTATCTCACCAGACAATCAAGGGCCCCTCGCTCTAAAATCTTCCAATCAACTCCCATCCAGCCCCATTCTCACTAGGAACTATCAGAATGAATTCAGCCATTCCCCCTCCACCCTTCCCAAAAATCACATTTCCAGTGTCCCCCTCTCTTCCTCCTCAAACTGCAGCAACTTTGTTACATCTTGGAGTATCCAACTTAGTTCTACCATGCAAAGCTCTCAAGGTGGGGTTCTTGGAGGAGGGCATGGTTACATCTCCCCATTGAAGGAAGCAGGAAGCTGCATGGGAGTGTGCTTCTCATTGACTGAGCCTATGGCAATCCCAGCAAATATGTCCAGATGCAGCAAAAAATCTTTACCCGGTATCCACTGCCAAATATCTTCTCCTGGGCCAGACACTGCCCAAAGCAGCGAAGGGAGGATCTGCAATATGAGGTGCTCCTTGGCATTTGGAAAATGGCTTCAGCTCTCACAGATATGCCCGCTGCAGCAGCCACAGGCCTCAGGCCCTGCAAGTCTGTCCATCTCACTTTCTAATATTGTATTATTGCCTTTATTTCAGGCTTGTCTCAATGAAAAAACTAACAGAATGAAAGTTGAGGAATCTCACGCTCCAGAATTTGGCATATTAAACCAAGGATGAAGAAAAGTCCCTGTGACAGAGTTGAGTGAAATGAAGCAAGGGCCGCAATATGTAAGTGAGCAAACAAAATGGAGCTTGGCCTGTATCATCCATGCAAAGAGAATGATCCCCATTTTGGAGGAGAATTGGGAGCTGTTCTTTTAGTGACAAGTTACAACCCTTATTTATTTAAAGAAGAAACTTAATTTGATGAAGCATAAACACTTCTGAAACACTTACCAAACCACGCCTGCTGTTCTCCTTGTACTTCAATTGCAAGTCCGAAGTCAGCCAGTTTGACAGCAGCCCCTTTGCACTTACTGGCAAGGAGCAAGTTCTCAGGCTAAGTAAGAGAATCCAGAGAGACGAGACAAGAGAAAGACCTGAAGTGAATATTTCTATCTTAAAACCATTGCCCTCTTTTTAAAGTTCACGGCATCACAAATCTATCCTTCTTTTAAAAATCCAGATTCTTACCTGCATCATTAACAAACTTTGGGTGGTGGCAATGGAAGGGATGGACTAAAATTCACAACAATGCACGGCAGCTTGTCGAACTCTTTCCCAGACAAGCATTTCTTATGCGCCAATGCGAACAGTAGATGGCACTAATTCTGCATGGCCTTCAGATTTCCCTGTGACTATTGGAAGGCACTATTGGAAGTAATTCTGAAGGAAGCAGAACAAGCTGCAGCAAGACGAACTCTTCATAAAGTTCCCAGGCTACATACATATATTCATTTAACTGCACAGAAACTTCAGTTACATTTGCTGCACGGAAATTCCAATTATGTTCCAAGAAAAACTAAAATTATTCCAATTACGCATTGGAATAATGCATCCTTCTAACTGTGTGGTGGAACAACCAAATTCATCTCCTCATAGCCTCCCAAGTCTACCTGGCACAGCATTAAGGCCCAAGAAATTATCTTTCATACATTTATTATATTTGTACTCTATTATGCCCAACCTAAAACCCTTGTTTTATGCTGTCACACATAAACAGTTCTAATGCTGGCTGCTGAACAGGGAGATCAAGCTGAAAAACAACGCAACCAACTTCAGTTTTTAAATTCTGCTGATTCCATGTTAGTTCTGTTGACGGGAGAGGTGCTATTCAGCAGGTACTGACCAGTTCTGGAGAACCGGTAGCAGAAATTTTGAGTAGTTCAGAGAACTGGCAAATACCACCTCTGACTGGGGATTTTACAGTATCCTTCCTCTGCCACACCCACCAAGCCCTGTCCACAGAACCAGTAATGAAAAAATTTGAATCCCACTACAGCTTTCGTTAATACGGTGGCGATTTTGCTCTCCCCATTCTTCTCTTCTAAGTTAAGAGTCCCCTCCTTTTGTTCCCAGAATAACCCTCTGCAGATATCAGAAGAATTGGAAGTAGAAGTCTAAAAAAACTACTGCCACAGAGAATTTTACTTCCAAAGCATGGAATTCTGTAGCATAAATGCATGTTGAGAACAAGCAGATGAAGATGTCAACCATCTACAAGGCCTTGCATCCAGTCCCTTATTTGCACCATGCAAACCAGTAGTTCTACAACTACAAAGTTAATTAGATCATGTGTTAAACTTGCTTGTTCTCTTGCAGATATTTCATTACTTGGCTAGGTAATATCTTTAGTGCTAGAAGGGAATATTTGAGTTGAGTAGCTACATAAATTTGTTTAATAAATACTTAAATAAAAATAATTAGGCCATGTTGTGTTGTACAGTTGCTATGGATTCTGTTGCTAGTTCTGAATCTATAGATGTAAAGAGTATTGTAACACTGAATTAAACCATAATCTCATCGTCCAAGCTGTTTTGTAAGTTCTTTGATTACATTGTGTGTTGGGGTTCCTGGTAATGATACAATTGGACAAAGAGATGTGTTGGGCTTGTGCATTTTGGTGGTCCATAAAAGTGTGGGAGGGTAGGTCTCTTGCTTTTCATCTGCCACTATTCTTCTTTTGTGATTTGACCTCCCTTGGTTAGAGCGTTAAGAATACTCTTGATCAGGCTGTCTAGTTTCTCTATTGAGTTGGTATTTACTAGGGGTGTAGGTTTTGCTGTCTGCCAATAATTGTTTGGTTTTTTGCATGTATTGACAGATGTCCATAATAACTATGGTTTGCTTTGTCTTCTGGTTTCCACTGGTTTCCTGGAACAGATGTTAAACTGATGGGTCTTTAATTTCCTGGATCTCCCTGTGAACTCTTCTTAACAATTGGAATTAAGATGATACCTTCCAGTCTTCAACTACAAAGGCTGGATGTACAGACTGGCTGCGTATTTTAGTTAGAAAGTCCACAATCTCAGCTTTAAACTCCTTATAATAATACTTGGATGGGTGAATGCCATCAGAGCGAAATGATTTGTTTGTCAGTAAGGCCTAGGATGTGGCAGTTTATAATCTGAACTGAGTCCAGGCAAGATTATCTGAAGCCAGGTAGAATCGATTCAGCAGAAGCACAGGATAAGAATATTTTTAAGAATAAGTGTGGCTACGTCCTGAAGCTCAGAATAAATGGTACAGCCAAGTGCTGTGTTCCAAACAGAGTAGCCCTGTCATCATTGGCATGGAGATCCCAGTAAAACAAACTAGAAAAAGAAGTAATCCTCCTGCAATTCCAGCTAAGGCAGTATTTACTGAAGGAAGGATCATTCTTGAGAACACTTCTGGCTGGAATCTATTACACTGGCTGACTAATTTATCAAAGGATTAAACAAACAACTTTTCTCTAAGTAGTGCACCTAGCCAACTCCCTCCGAGTCAATATTTTAATACAAGGCAATGAAGGAATTCCAAGGTTGTATGTAAACAATAGGGGGGAAAAAACAAATCCGGTCCTGGAAAAGGCAATCTCATAAGTTCTCAAACTTTTTTTACTACCATGTAGGATTCATCTCCGCTAAAGGAACCCTTTGAGTCATGGAATGAAAAGGTTTGATGGGATCTGAAGTATCTATAATCCAATCCTTTGCTCAGCACAGGCATCCATGAGTATGGCATACTCGACAAATGGCCATCTAGTTTCTACTGAGATATCTCCAACAAAAAAAGCTTTACTGGCTCCAAGGCTGTCTGTTCTATGGTTGGATAGTTGAATTAGGACTTCTTTTTTCTTGATGGCAATATAAATCTGTGGTTTCTTGATCTGTGTTCTAGAACAACTCTGACACTCTTCAGATACTTGAACAGAGCTACGGTGTTCCCTGAAGACTAAAAATGCCCCATGCCTTCAAACCTTTTATCTACATCCCTTAGTTATTTTCTTTTGACTACCAACAATCTGTCAATGCATTGGTGTCCAAACCTGGGTGCAATGCTCATGGTATGTTTGGCCAACACAAAATACAGAAAGGAATTATGTCTTATCCTGAACATGGCATTCTATTTCTGCTAAAGCAACTATGATTGCATCAAGCAATAGTAACAGCATCAAGTCAATTGTTTTGAATTGCAGGGAACAAAAGAGATAGTGGTGACCCTTCTGATTTAAGAGATTTCCATTCTAATGTAAAACCATGGACAATAAATGATTAACTAATAATACCAAGCATCCTCTTTCTCTTATAGTGCATCTGTATTTGTTCCTCCTTCTCTTCACTTGGTTGAGGCAGAAATTAGCAGCACCAGCCCAGATGCAAAGTTTCAAACAGCTTCCTTGTAGCAGCTGGCCTTCTTCAAGCATTATGCTTAGCTGGTGATTAAGGGAGACAACCTGCTTGGGTTACATAGCTCATGCTGGCTTCTTGGTGCAGGGGCTTTTCAATTACACTCATGGACACCACTGCTGTCCAGTAGTAAACTGTAAGCAGCTTGTGCGCAGCATCAGCAACCAGTGACACAATCAAGAAGTCTCTCTACTTGATCACAAAAGAGCTGCAAGGACCAGTGTGCACCATATGGCAGAAGCAGGATGGTTTCCTCTCTCAGGAAGTTGCTCCAAAAAAGGTGCCCAGGTACTGCAAGGGCGCCATATGGTGCTTCATGAACAAGCTCACCTAGTGAGGAGGAGGAGGATACAGGCATCAAATACAATGCAAATCAAAATCATGCAGATGACCCCATTTTTGAAAGAAATATATATTACAAATGCACAAAAGCCCTTCTGTCATTTTGTCATATATACAGTAATAAAAAACTGAAAACAGATAAAGAACTTTATGAGTATTTTGAAGCCTGCTCTCTAATGATCAAACATGCCAATGTGAAATTCCTGTTAGCAAGGGCCACTGGTATTTCCATAAGTATTCGTTTCCCCATCTTAACAAACCTGTTTAGGAAACCTTGCTGCACCATGGAGCTACCATGATGTTGCAATAAGTTTGGACAGTATTTTAACTGATTCTGCAGCATTTCTGGATCCATTTTTCCCTCCAGCTGGTGTCCACTGTAAGGCAATTGGGTTTTCCTCCCAGATCTCTTATCAAGATATATCTTTATCATTTTAAAATCCTTTGAATTATTGCGCTACATGAACAGTTAGACCCATATCATATCTTACATGCATAATTGTCCTTACATGCAAGGAAAATATGCTCTAACATGTATTTCTTTAAAAATTAGAATGAGAACTGACTGGCAAAACTTTTTCCCTCCACGGAGCTGGGGTGGGCATGGCCTGCATGTGATGCATCCGGCCGGTGGGCCGTCAAGTTTGACACCCCTGCTCTAAATGGTAGTTATGATCTGCTACAAGCAGAAAGCTTACTCTTCATCTCCCTCAACTACAGAACAATATCAATTGGAGACACTAATGTTTTTGTGAATTGTGTAGCATTTGAAGGGACCAGGATATTAAATTAAATGGAAGATTATTAAGCCAAAGACTGTAGCAGAGAAGCATACCAATTTTATACTGCCCTAGGTCCACCTGTGCAATTACCTTGATTTCATTTAACTGTAGCCTCCAGGCAAGGCTACTTCGCACTGGAGCCATGTATTACCTTTAAATCCCTATGTACAATATCATGTTGATGAATATGATTGACACTCTCCAAAATCTGATGAATGCAGTGGCTGCAAAACAAACAAACAAAGCAGAGAAGAAACATGATTTATTTATTTATTTATTGAATTATATAAATATTTTTCTAGTAAGACTCCCACAGCAAAATATGCTTTTAATCAAGAACTGCAGATTAAAGTTTTAACAATACATAAAATATCACAAGCAAATATGAGCTATTACTGACAATGCCGGCTTTCTGCATTGTTCTATGAAGAAAATATAACTCACAGCACTTTCTGCAGTACAGCTCTATGCACTGAGAAGTGCTTGGAAGCCATCTTAGCCCAACCTTGACCCAGAAACCTCTTTCCCTGGTTGAGGTTATCTTGGAAGAGATTTTTCAAGAATCCCTGAAATCTGCCACACAAGAAGCCAAGTCCATTAGCCAGTATTTACTATAACCTCTTTGCTAGCCTGGCTGAAACTAAAGATTCCCTCACTTCCTTCATGTTGGGAAACTGCCAGTGGGAAGTTTAAGTAGCAGTGCACAGAAGGATATTACAAGCATATCTGCACAAAAGGGCTGGAGTCTTTGAAAGGTGCCGTCTGCTTAACTTGCATTTTTACTTCTTCCCTTTTTCCAGCTTTTAAGCTCCACGTTTTCCAGCAAAACAAATAATTTATCTCTGTCCCTCTCCCTTTGAATGAGGGGTGTAACTTGTCATGAACACGTATTGTATTAGATCAACATTACACCCATACAGTGCCTACACAAAGCACCACACACAAAACCTGCAAATGTTTGTTAAGCTAATTTCCAGGCACTTATAATAAAAGTAACAAAACGGCTGGCAGAAGCAATTTATTGCAAAGAAGGAAGTAACTAATTTTGCACTGTAACAGTTCTGATAGCATAAACCAGGGACATTTACCTGGTTTATGCCACTCCATGGCAATAGTGACCCTGCCATGGGGTGAGTCCCATATTAATTGACTCTTAAGAGTTTTGAAGTCATAGCCATCACCATTTAAGTGCTTTTGAAAGGGAGTTGGGCACAATTGTTCACATTTTATAATAAATGATATAACTCAATAAATACAACAGAGAAGCTAACTGAGCATTCCTAGGAAGTACCATTGGATGTAAACTACCCAGATGGAGATGTGGCAACCAACTTGCACAATAAGAACCATTTGCCTTAAGTGGAGGGGTAGATGCTTGCTCTGGGAAACAGCAAGGCACCTCAACACATTCCCAGGAGGTCCATGCCAAAGGCGCTGGCAGGGTGAACTACTCTGGCAGGCTCTGAAGCGGGGTGGAGAGCAAGAATCAGACCCAAGCTGTATAACTAGAACAGAACCAAACACTTAGGAACGCCTTTCAGGCCAAAAATGGCAAAAGCGAGTGAACACCGCTCTCCCTTCCTTGCAAGGAGCTCTCTGCAGCAACGGGCAAGCAAACAATGACAAGGGAAATGCAGCAAAGTCAAGATTCAGCTATAGATGTGATCTTCTAGATATACATGTCCTTTCAAAGGTAAACCAGACAGCAATTTCTAGCTAGGTTACCCTGCAGGAACCATACAAGAGCCTTGTGAAACCTGTTTTATAACGGATATTGTATTCTAAATATTTGTAGATTATGTCTATATCAAATGCATGATATAATAAGAGAAATTATTATATATTTATACAGCCATTATTTACAGAGGAAAAAAATAAGTATTTACTTACATAGAATAAGTGCATTGGATATGACCTAAGCTTACTTTGCACTTACAAATTACAAAGGATGGTGGAGAGAAAGATTATATCATTCTCCTTTATAGAAAAGCCACTTATAAAATACCACACAAGACATAGTAAAAATATATGGCATGATTAGATTGTACTTATGACAAAAGCAACAGATTAAAAATAAGATTGTCTTTACTGTTGAGCTGCTCCTAACCAAACAGTAGCAATGCAGATTTGGTATTGCAATTTTTAAAAAAGAGAAAGTGTAGGTAGAGTGAGTGTCCTTGTGAAACTGAGGTGCTATCTAGAGGACGTAAAGAGAACCAGGGTTCAACTTTCCTCCACTTATCCAAGGCGGATCCAGTAAGCTGCTCTAAGGTTCCACAGGAGAAGCAAGGCTTTATGAATCTTCAACAAAACCTATATCTGCAGTCAATATCAACAACAATGCACTTAAATGCAAGTTACAGGGATTTACTGTTCTGTTCAGTAAGATGGTTGAGACCACCCTGCTTTGTAACAGGGAACTAGCTAACTAGCTTTTTTTAAAAAAAACCACAAATTTAGCAACACATGCAATTTAAGGGCAATTTTATTACCCTACAGCTTAAAGTACTTGAACACCAAGTAATACAGTCAAGATAAGTAGAGCAAAGACTACCTAGCCTACCTATTCATTTGTTAAAAGCTACCGTGATAAAACAGATTTTATAATATTTTATTGTTCTCCCTATATTTATATAATTTGGCCTAAGAATAATTTATTGTGGCAACTAATGTTTAAAATGGCTATAAACTATTCAAGTATTATGCCTAAACTGTATGAACACTTTCAGTAAAATCTTGTCAAGAACTGATATTTAGCAGATGTCAGAATTGCCGTCATGTTGACCAAGTTGGGGCAGGACTGACATTAGGATATTGGCCATAAATAAATTAAAACAAAATAAAAGTAAGAAAACCATACTAACCAGCATGAACTTACCTAGCATCGGCTTCACTGTAGTATTCCCTGGCAACAATATCTTCAAATAGCTCCCCCCCAGTCACCCTAGAATCAAACATAATCCATGAAATTAAGAAGTCAGATAAAGACTTTGATGAAGCAGATGTCAAACACTAACACTCAATACCAAATGGAAAGAGAAGCTCCCTCCTCGGCTTCTTAAATAATTTTTAAGAGGTTTAATTCCAAAGCAAGAGATAATTAAAGACTAATAATCCTCAATCATGTCTGTTCAGCACCCAATAGCTATCCCTAAGCTCTTTCCTATACCTGTAGCAAAGCCAAGTGCAGGAGCTGAATTGTGCACTGCAGAATGAAATGATGGCAATAAAAGAAAACTACGGCCTGCAGTCTAGACTACAAATAATCATTGAGTTGTACTACTAATTTAGCCCAAGCATTACAAATTTACTGGAAAGAAACCAATAGAAACCATGCCTCAGCAGAAGCAATTCTGCTGACTGAACAGGAGGAAGTCTATTCTCTATTTTTTGGGGGGTTGTCTATCAGCCAATACCCAATAACTGCACACAAGAAAGTAGTCTGAAATAACTTCATTATTTACAAGTTGGTCTTAACTCTGGCTTAATTAGCAAATCCTGACAAAAAGACATTTTCTTGTGCAGGATTTAGGGCCATAATACTGTTTGTTTGCTTAAGTTGAAATGGCATGGCATGGCATGGCATGGCATAGACTAGACTAGACTAGACTAGACTAGACTAGACTAGACTAGAATAGACTAGACTAGACTAGACTAGACTAGACTAGAATAGAATAGAATAGAATAGAATAGAATAGAATAGAATAGAATAGGAATTCTTTATTGGCCAAGTGTGATTGGACACACAAGAAATTTGTCTTGGTGCAAATGCTCTCAGTGTACATAAAAGAAAAGATACATTCATCAAGAGTCAAGAATCATCAGGTACAACACTTAATAATAGTCATAGGGTGCAATAAGCAATCAAATCATACTAGGAAGCAGTCAATATAAATTGTAAGGATACAAGTGACAAAGTTACAGCCATACAGTCACAAGTGGGAGGGGATAGGCGATAAGGAGTGATGAGAAGATTAACAGTAATAGTAGTGCAGACTTTGTAAATAGTTGAACAGTGTTGAGGGAATTATTTGTTTAGCAGAGTTCAGGAAAAAACTGTCCTTGTGTCTAGTTGTTCTGGTGTGCAGTGCTCTATAGCGTCGTTTTGAGGGAAGGAGTTGAAACAGTTTATGTCCAGGATGTGAGGGGTCTGTAAATATTTTCACAGCCCCCTTTTTGACTCATGCAGTATACAGGTCCTCGATTAAAGGCAGGTTGGTAGTAATTGTTTTTTCTGCAGTTTACATGCAATTACCTGCAGATACTGTTACTAAGGATGGAAAAGGGAGAGAGGGAGGGAGAAATGTTTCCAAGTCTTACATACTTTTCAATGACCAAAGATAAAAAATAAAAATAAAGCAGACTTACAGATCAAATACAAGGTAATGGAAACCTTCTTCTGAAATACTCTCATGGAGCCGCACTGCAAAGAAAGACGAAGACTATGAGGAAGAAGACAACGTTCACACTTTTCAGAAGTACGTCAACTTTAACAGGAAAAAAGCTTGCAGCACCTTTAAACTAATATTTTCCCTTCTTTCGAACTAATTAGTTTTCAAAATTCCCAGGCTTAACGTTGTAACTGAAATACTATTAAAATATTTACTGTGACAAAATAGCAAACCCTGTTATGCCTACAGGCTCTCGGTGATTCCTAAAGCAATGAGGCAGCGTCACCTCGCAGCGGGAGAATGAGCCCGAGACAAGGTGGGTTAGCCTAAGACAACACGGATCGTTCATGGATCAGTACAGGACTGAAGTGAATTGGGGCGTCCTCATTCAGATCTAGGGGACAAGTACATTGGAATTAAAAATAAGGAGGTAAATCATGGAGAGTGAGGTGAGAACGGGATGCAAAGCTTCTTTTTTCCTTGCTGCCATTTTCCAAAAGTCAAGCCTGCTGTTTCATTCAACCCCACCTCCATAGCACAAACAGCATTGCTACGGGAAATTTAGATCAGGAAAAAAGTACTGTAGATTTAAAGGCATTTAAATTTCACTCCTCAATACTACAGCTCTTATTTAGCCATGGACACAGACAAACACAACACACAGACACACGCTTATGATTATTTTCTTTTTAAATGGTAAATACAAAAAGCTACAGCACCATCAAAATAAGTAGACTGTGCTAGTCAGTGAAGAAAGAATACCTAAATATTGCCATGAAGAAAACAGAAAAAGATCCATATACTGTAAGTACCAATGATACAAAATCACTTCAACTACATATTGTATCAAATAAATCGTAAGAACTACAGGGAGTCCTCAACTTACAGTCGGTTGCTTAGCGACCTATGATATAACAGCTCCCCCCTCAAGGTAGTTAAGGTCTGGTTTTAAAGTTACAGCCGTTAAAATGCCCGGTCATTGTTCAGGATGCTGCAGTGGCCACCTCACCTTTTCCCCCCACCCAAGCCTTGGCCTGTTCCAAAGCCGGCCATTCAGACAGGCTTCATATCTTTCAGAGTCTGATTATTATGAGACTGATTATAATCCTGATGTATATTGTTGCTGCTTTAGAAGTAATAGCGCTGTGTAGCTGTCAATCCTACAAAGTAGACCAGACTAAGAACAAATGCCACGTAGGTCCACTCCCCATCATCCAGTCAGAGCTGAAGAACCTTCTTGGATGAGAAGTGAAACATCTTCAAAGAAAAACCAGAAAGTCCAGTTGCCTCTTGAAAGGGGAAAAAAAATCACTTTTGGGACAACCATGACCTGGATGACTGAGAATCTCCATAGATATTTAAGTAAGGAACAACTCACTTCAATTAAATGGATTGACTCTCCCTCAACTTCAGGTGGAGTAAAAACAATTAACTGTTAACGATATTAATGTATTACAAGTATTTTAAAAATGCTATTTTGAAAACTATTTATATGCATACAAATGCAATGGCTGAAATAGAATATATCTTTTCAGTTGAACCCTGTTTTTTAATACATGGTATTTTTGCACTCATTTTCCATCTATTCATAAAAAATTAAGCACTTGAAAAGTTCATGCAAAACTTTTCAAGAATTAATCTCTAACTACAGCATTTAATTAGAAGATCAGCATATAAGCTTGGAGTGGTAGACTGCCAGGTGCATTGGTACACCGCAGGCTAAAAGCAACAAGGGTCATAAAAAGTGTGCTTTTCCCAATTTAACGATTATAGGTTAATCTTGACTTTTAAAAAGTTGTTTCTATAAGGATCTGCAGTTCAGTGTCAAGTATGAATCAACTTTTTCCCCTTAAAATAAAATTTTATTCCAAAAGAATAAACAGAAGAGATTCTATAGGGCCTTGCTAAAGAGAGTAGTTGGACTGCATAATAATTGCAATCTATAAAATGATGCATATTGAAATTGGAACTAGCTGCGATTATTCCTGAAAAATCTTGAGTTCAGCTGAACATCCTAGTGAAAAAAATCAGCTCAGTTAGATGTTACCGAGTCAGGTCTAACCTCAATGATTATATAGACAAATTCCTATCATCTTGATATTTCCTCAGTGATAACCTGTAAAGGTTCCAAGGACATTCCAGCAACCATTTTAATTCTATCCATTCACTTTATCTTCCCATTCTTTTATTTCTCTCAATCTCCCAATAACCATTCTTTCTATTCCATGTTTTTCTCTCATCCCAAGGTCATGGTTCTGATTAGTGAGCATTATCTCAATGAATTAATCTGTCTTTATTTGTCCAGGACTGATCAGTAATTATCCACAGGCATATTATTCGCCTATTTGTTTTTATTAACTCTTATTTATTACATTACTAAGCTACCCCACTCCAAATTATTTCAAAGAATTAAAAATAATAGTTGCATCATACAACCAAAGCATCCACAAACTAGCAACTATTAAAGGGACAAAGCTATTAATCAATATCCTTAACAACACAAGGGTCCTGTCCACCTCTTTCAACCCTGATTACTGTTGAATAATGTCAATGCCAATGACGTTCATGTGGTGCTCCAATGATTTTGGGATTACACCCAAGGCACCTCTTACTGTTTGTCTTTCCTTTCTTTTGCCACAGTCATTCTAGTTCTATTTGTAGTGCTTTTGTGATTTTCTATTTTATTCTGCTGTGTCTAGATATTGCAACGTTCACTGTCCAGATTTTGTTATCTATTATTATTAATAATATTCATTAAACATGAAACTCAGTCAACAGAACATTTAAAAATGTATCACTATTACTACTACTACTACTACTACTACTACTACTACTACTATTATTATAATATTATTATTATTATTATTATTATTATTATTATTATTATTATTCGCACAGTCAGCCAGAAGTTCAGACTGGATTTGGCATTTTTGTCTACCTATCGAGTCCTTAGCAAGGACCTGGGATAGGCAGATCTCGATGTTTGATGATGTTACAGATTAGTGTTGCAGGATGGAAGCTGTTCCTAGTAAAACCATCTTTTGCAATTGACTAATGGTGAATTTTGTCAATGCCAATGATGTTCAAGTGATACTCTAGTTGTTTTGGGATTGCACCCAAAATGCCTATTATTATTGGTACTACCCTTGCTTACTTTTGCCACAGTCATTCTATTTCTATTCATATGTCTTTGAATTTTGTGATCTTCTCCAATTCTTTCTCTTCTATTCTGGTGTCTCCAGGCACTGCCACATCCACTATCCAGACTTTTTTGTCTTTCTTATTGACAATTGTTAGATCCCGGGATGTGACAGATTCTGTCTAAAGTTCCAGAGCAATTTAATTTCTTTATCATTATTATTATTGATCATTGCACAGTCAGCCAGATGTTCAGACTGGATTTGGCATTCTTGTCTACTTATTGGATCCTTACCAAGGAGCTGGGTAGGTAGATCTAGGTGTTTGATGGTGTTACAGATAACATTGCAGGATGAAAGCTATCCCCAGTAAAGCCGCCTGTTGCAATTGAAATTGTTGTTATTTTTGTTGTTGTTCTCAAGGTTTACTTTCTGCCTTTCTTTGGTTATCACAATATAGTATTTTGAAAGTCACTTGGATCTTTTCCTCTCTGGAATTTTCCCCCGTTAATGTTTCACAATGATTTTATCTTTTGCTATGTTCCTTAGCTTCTCTTTCACATCTATTCTACAAACAGATCCTATGTTCTGACAATATGACTTCCAGGTCAAATCTACTCTCTTCAATTTTTAAGATTTAGCTAATATATTTTGACAGCAATTATTATTTTCTATCCTACAAACTACATCTAGAAGTAGCCTGGTTAACTGGATTGCAGACCCTTTTTAATTTCTTATGTAATCAGTTGGATTGTGGTGTCATCCAGACAATCGAGTCTGTATTTATGTTTTTGAAACAAGTATTAGCAATGAATAAGCAATTATCTTTGCAACACTCTACTAATCTATCCCTTGCATTATTTACCAAGTTCACATCTTCCTGTAATTTCAGGTTCTTCCATTAGTTCAAGTTCTACATTCCAATCAGCCATTAGTAATATATCCTTTTTAGATGGAGCATTTGGCATGATTTGAATTTCCCAATGACTTTCATACTGAATCTGTAGTACAGGTATACTCTATACACTCACACAAAGTTAAAGTTTACTGGATATCCACTAATTCTCCTAGATATGAGCATATCATTTATTGGACTACAGACAATCACATTCTTAGCAATGTTCTTTCTGAGTATCATTACCACTCTGTGCCTTCATGTGCCTCATGTTGTTAATAAATGTATTGTGTAATCTTATAAATTAAGTGGATAATTCTGATCCACTTAAATTCATTTATTCCTAAAGCTTCCAATTTGATATGTATTATTTCCTTTTTGATAATTTCTGCAGCATTTATTTTTTAAAAATATAATATTTTATGCCTGAGATTAAAAATCTGAAATTGGAAAATTATCTTGCTCATTTATTTTTACAAATAATTATGTGCTTGGAATTCTGTATTTATAGTTGGAAAATTTGTACAGAAAAACCTCAAAGCATCAAGAAATTTTAGTACACCTTTACAACAAGGCTGCCAAACTTGCGGCCTGCAGGCTGGATGTGTCATGCACTGGCCACACCCATGCCTGGTTTAGCAAAGGGAGAAAAGTTGTGATATGTCACGTGACAATGCCATTGTCAGCCTTCAAGATTTTCTCCCTTTGCTTTGCATCTTTCGGCTGTCATAAGTAACTGGGGGAGGAGGGGGGAATGGTTATGGGAAGTGAGCTGGAGGTGTTACAACCCAGAACTGTATAAACTGGGGGGGGGGGTACATTCTTGCTTAGGTTTCTATCTTATGCTATGCGCAGCTGCAAACCTTTATCAAACTATGTCAAGGTCAACTGACAGAAGCCTCATCACCACCTGGAGATGCCCACATGATGATACACACAACTTTTAATTGGATGAGCCAATTGAACTATTGGGGGTGGGAACGTTGCCATTACTTTGTAT